TAGAATGCTTTAATGAGAAAATTTTATCATGCAGAAGTTTGTTGGTTTTGTTAGAGACAGAGTTATTAAAAAACTTTTATTCTTTTAATTTAGAAATTTTGTCAAGACATTCTCTCTTTGACGTTTACATACTAATCACAAAATATAACATTGTACAAATTCTAAAGGTGGTATAATTTTTTTTTTTTTTGTTGAAATTGTGTCACATTTTTAAATATTAAAAATTTAAACTATATTTGTCTTTGAATTAATATTTTTTGGCAAGAATTCTAATTGGAAATATTTCTTAATTTATGTTTAATTATTTATTATTATTATAAAAATTATCTAGTTTCTTTTTTTAGTAATAAAAATAATGACTTTCAAGTTTCAAATAATAAATAATTAAGATAGATATGAAAATAATTTTAATAAAATAACATATTGATACCGTTACTTTACGTTTAATACAATATGAAACAATTATTGATATTTAATTATTCGGGTATTAATTAAAATTGATGTGAACATATTTAAATAGTAGCTTTATTGAAGTTAATTATTGAAAATGTTGTACAACTTATAGAATATTAATTTTTAGAATAAAAAAATAATAAATGACATTTGTATCAATTTATGGTAATTTTTCTCTAATTAAATTTATTTTTCAAGCTGTCTGATACTTAATTTTTAGAAATCAAAGTTTTAATATAAAATAAACATATATGTTCGTTTAATTCTAATAAAGACTTTATCAAGTAATTATTGAATACACTCGAAAAAATACAAATACTAAAATATAACAATTGCAAACATGAAAATCTGTTTACACTAGAAAATAGATGTACTTAGTTGATATGTACCTACTGGTTGCAAGCAATATCGTCGTCCTTTTCCATTACACTTTATTGGAATCGCCATCTTACGACAAGCGAAAAATAAAAGCCAGATTCTTAGTGCCGGGTCCAATTTCCCACCTTCTTTGTAGAATCTTCTATAAAAAAATCTCCGATTTAGATCAAGACGTCTTCATTTTTCGTAGCTCTAGTAGTTACTATTATCGTGTATCTGACGTTTAGATTGATTTTGCTTGCTAAGCTTACCCAAAACGTCAGTATATGAACACCCTTCAGTGACTAGGATGGCCATAGTCGATCTTCGTATCGCCTTTTTCTCCTTAAGAGGACATTGTGACCTACAAACTTTCAACGCGTTCTTTATCATTAAATTCGCCTTCTTATAAACGTCTCAAGATTTGAACATCTTCGAGACTTCTTCCTTGGCTTTAGACAGCATTTCTGCTTCCTCTGCTTTCAACTGTATGCTCATGGTTATTCACCTATTCTTCTACTTCTGACAGCATTAACACTGTGCTGCTTCCACTTAAGAAAATAGATTAATTACCTCTTTTCCAATCACTTATTACGATGATTCGTAGTACCGCAAAACGGAGACCATCTCCTTAGTCTGATGTCAGCTTATGAGCACCAGCTCTAAAGCTGATGATGATTAGTTTAATACTGTTATTTACGTTCGATTTATAATATGGGTCCTCTTGGTTTGATCCTTCACGAAAAAAATTGTTTTCCTTCCGTAGCGTAGCACACCTAGGTACTTAAGTAGCGCCAAATCCCTAACAGCAACGGACGTTTCAGAATATCCTATAGACGTCCTTTTTCGTATACGGAAATTTGGATATCTCTAGGATGTCCTCAGGATATCTATGAATATACCTGATACATCCTATGGATATCCTACTTTCCTGTTATTCCCAGGACAACCGTAGAATATCTTGAAAATCCGAATGCTGTTAGGGATACTTGCACATTTTTTACCCATTAGATACCCACGGTACCCTGGAACCAGTCTCAACCCTCAACATTCTCCCTTTCAAAAATTCCTGTTGCAACTTGTTCGGGGTACCTCACTGAATATTTTCAAACAAGAAAAATCAAAATCCTTCGGGCGCTTTTTTTTAATTTCAATTTTTGTGATTTTAGCGTCAAATTAAAAAAACTGGTTTTTTATAATTATTTAAAGTAAAATTCAACTTCACATGGTCAAATTTTGTTCAAGAAATTATACAAAATCATGATTCCGGTAAAAATTTTCTGTAGAATCAAAATCTGACATTGGCTTTCGAATTTAAAGCACAGGAATCCCAGAAAATACGGAAAACTGTAAATATTCTAAAAACAATCTCACCGTAGCGTCGTTTTTTCCAAATTGTCTGTCAAATTTTATAAAAATAAGAGCAATTTCAAAATTTATCGAAATTTCCCAATAAGTAACAGTTACTTTTTCAAAATTTACAAAACAAAATATTAGGTATAGAATGAACATTTTTTTGTCAGTGATTAAAATTTTGAATTTAAAAGTACCCCGAACAAGTTGCAACAGGAATTTTTGAAAGGGAGAATGTTGAGGGTTGAGATTGGTTCCAGGGTACCGTGATATCGGACATCAGTTATTCCAGTTTGGGGCAATCTATGTCCCTTGTAGTGCTTCTGACACACAAAATTAGGAGAACAGTTGTCCTTAACCCATAGTACAACACTTCTACAATAAATTGCACATCTGATGCACCAAAATTTTTTCCGTATTGTTTTTACGTTCGATTTGTTATTATTGATTGGTTACCTATCAACTTTTGTACCCAAAAATTTAAGAACGTTTCTTGACGTATTTTTTATGCTGAATTAGAATCCATTATTATTAGATTTTCCTTATCACGACAAATTTCAAAATGACAGAAAAAAATAAAAAATCAATTGGATTTGCTTTAAACTTGTTACTGGGGGATTTTTATGGTCGCTATTTACGAATAGGTTTTTGAGCTTGTATCAAATTTTGATGACTGCAAAGTAACATTATCGAATCACGAGTTAAGTTAATCCTACACTGAAAAAAAAGGTTTGGTATTAACAATCAAATGTTTGGTTGGTATTTAAGCAATCAAAATTTTTTTTTGTTGAATCAACAAAATTTTGGTTGTCCCAATCAAACTTTTGTTACAACAAAAATCCTTTTTTTCTAATTTTGGTTGTGTCAAACAAATTTTGATTGAGACAATTAAAATTTTGTTGATTCAACAAACAAATTTTGGTTGCTTAAATACCAACCAAACGTTTGGTTGTTAATACCAAAGACTTTTTTCAGTGTAGGTATATTAATTAAAATACATTATACGTCATTTTTAATAACTTAAAATTATAGGCATCATATTCGTAATCAGTGACACTAAAAACCCCCCAAGTAACGAGTTTCAGGCAAATTGAATCAATTTTTAGAAAATTCGTCCGCCATATTAGATTCGCCATTTTGAATTTTGAAAAACTGACTTCAAATTCGTAATCAGCAACTTCAAACAATTATGTTTAAATTTTATTTTGCATCGACATTTACGATTGTTAACAGGAACCAATGAAAATTTTGCCTGATAATTTCAGGGGTTTCCTAAAATTTCATGAGAGTTGCGCTTAAACCCCTACTTGCTTAGGAATAAATTATAAAGGAGTTTACTAAATTTTTTTAGCAGCATCAGCTATTTGCTGAATTTGGTACTCCGTGGATTACAATAGAAATTATTATTATTATTATTATTATTATTATTATTATTATTATTATTATTATTATTATTATTATTATTATTATTATTATTATTATTATCCGGACATTATAAAACGGTTATTCAAGCATTAAAAATAACACTGGAATTCTATCATTACAGATTGGTCTGGTAATCAGCAATGAAATATTTTCAAAATTAGATTGTCACCTACAAATAACGAGTCCTAAACAATGGTAGATATCGACAGATTACAACATTACTTGTCAATTAGTTTATAGAACATGCACAAGTTTAAATTACATTATTCTATTTCAATAAACATTTCTCTTTATAAATTTATTTACAATCAATTTTAGCCTTGAAACTATGAACTTAAAATAATTATTATCAAGTTAGGAAAAATATTAAAAATCAGTAGATAGTTATATCACTATTACGCATATATATTTTGTAGTGTTAAATTGGCTTTTTTTAATTCATCGAATTTCGCTTGAAACTCGTTACTGTTACTCAAGGGTTATCGGGATCGTTGATTACAAATCCGATGTCAGTTTTTCAATATCTCTTTAAATAAAATTTTCCATTTGAAAAAAAATCCCTTAGGCTCGACTAATTATCTATGAAAAATTGACTGTTACCTAATTTTTATAATTCCCTATAGATTACTTTGAAAACAAAATTTTTCCAATAAAACATATTGAACATATCAAATTCTTCATTATTTCTTAAGAATAATAAATCATTTAAAGTTTTGTATTTTGTATTATTGAACGAAAATTAATATCAAGTTTTTTCATAAATGTAAAATAAAAAAAAAAGGTTTCAAAAAAATAGTATTATTTATTAAACCGTATTTGACAATTTTTTTCAAAGTTATGGAATACGAGACTAAAAATAACTTCTATGTTGCCCTTATGAAAAAAATAAATATACATACTCTGTAGTTAGATGCAATGTTTGTTTAAAAAAAAAATGTATTGATGACATAAAATGTTTACATGAAGGACCATTGATGAAAAGTAAAAATGTTTATCGATATACAAACCCCTGACTATTATAAAGAAACGTTTCGAATTGATGAAAACGAAACGAAAAAGCTTTCAGGAAGTGTTTTTTGAAATTTTACGTTTTTTTTTTTTATTTTTATTTGTCAAATATCAAATTTACAAAAAGCTCTCAAGCCACAAGCTGGAAGCTTTAGGAAGAAGCATTTGACAGGTGACTAGCTTGACTTTATCCATAGTAGTATGTATGTACATATAAATACATATATATATATAGTTGTGGAGAGTGGATGTAGAATTGACCAAGGGATGAAACGAGCAGAGAAAAAGAGAGAGAAAGAGAGAGTGGGACACAGAGGGTAGCGCGCACTCTTCACTGGGAAAATATTTCTCGATTCCTGCGACTACAGTAGTGGGGGATTCGCATATACCCTTAAGTTGCATGATACTAAAACTTCAGTCTCACGCGACACGCGCAACCCTCCAGTTGCATTTTGAACACAATATTCATTATGATCATGATGATGAACGTGCTACGTGTTTTTAGTGTTAACAGATCCGGTTTCGTGCTTCTTTTATTGCTCTCAACTTTTCTTGGAAAGATTACATCGGAACCAATTGGTGAGTGGAACAAAAATAAAATCATTTTTTTATTTTTGCTATTCAAAAAAAAATTCTAAAATAATTTTATAACCCTCTTAATGACAACTAAAAAACAAATTTTAAAATTGAAAAAATAAATTTTAATTAATTTTAGATTAGAATTTATTTTTTTCCAGACGACCACGAGGATAACCAATTAATTTACAATAAAATCATATAACAATATAATAAATACAATAAACATACATATATATAATAATATAATCACAAACAAAATAAAGTACGATGAAATTAACAGGGAAGAAAAAAATTGGTACCATAATTTTACACCAACTTTGGTATCAATATCAGGTGATTTTAAATACATTCTGTAATTCTAAATCCAATTCTAAAATGAACAACTTGTAAAAACTGTGCTGTAAACATGTTTCCAACAGGCAAGTTAGGACAAATCACAAAACAATCTGTTTTCTTCACACAAAAACAATTCCCGTGCACCAAACAGTTTTGTTTTGTACACAAGTTCGATTTGTGTATTTCCCAAAATCATCTGTTTTGTGGAGACTACAACTGCAATTTGTAAATAACACAATAAATTTTTTTTCATATATTTTATGACGATTTTAATTAATTTTTTTTTAAAGATTTTGAAATTGACGAAATGATTATTAATTTTACAATTTTGGATGTCCAACTTGTTACGAATTTGATTTTCTAAAGAGAAATTCGCGTGCAACAAACAGTTTTGTTTTGTACACAAGTCCGATTTGTGTATTTCCCAAAATCATCTGTTTTGTGGAGACTACAACTACAGTTTGTAGATAACACATGTGATCCTGTAGATAACACAATAAATTTTTTTCCATTTATTTTATGACGATTTTAATTAATTTTTTTTAAAGATTTTGAAATTGATGAAATCATTATTAATTTTACAATTTTGGATGTCCAACTTGTTACTAATTTGATTTTCTAAAGAGAAAATCTGTGGATTTTGAAACGGAGGAATATTATTAAAAAATCATTATCTAAATGTCTTCGTTTTATTTTCCTTATTATTAAAACAGCTTTGACGATAAAGGCTTAAATAATATCTATACCTTATTATATTTATTTATGAAAATCTATGTTTCTAAAGATATATAAAAAATAAAATTCGTATGCAATAAATAATTTAAAAACATATTATATTTAAATTAAATTTAATATTTTCACGTGGGATAATGCAACTAAACTAATTTGGTAACCCTATATATATACTCAAATTTAACTTAGAATATCAAGCTAGTTTTGTTTAACGAACAACATTTCATATTTAGATTCATATTCTATATATTAACAAAACATAATTTTGTTTCATAATATTTTTAATTTCATATGGAAATATTTTATAACTAATAATAATAAAAAAAAAACTAAACAAAATATTGTAAATCCTTTGATTAGAATGAAACATCAGCTAATTATTGAAATTCACAATTTTTGGTCACCAATTTCATTAAATTCTGTTAAGTTTTTTTTTTTTTTTTTTTTTTTTTTGTTTGTTTATACATAAATATGGAAGAAAATTAAATTTTATAATTATACATATGAATAGGTATTGTTCGAGTAAAATTATATGCTGCGTGAAAAATACTGTTAACTTTTTAAGACAGAATTTTATGAATGCTCGCTATAAAATGCAAAATTATGATAATTCTCTCATAAATTTTATAAGACACGTTTTGAGATTGTGTGAAAGTGTAAAATGAAATGAAAAATTTGTTTCGTTTTTCTTTCTAAAAAAAAAAAAATAAAATAAAATTTAATAAGATTTTTTTGTATGCTCAATTATTTTTTCAAGATGAAATAATTCAAAGCGTGTATTAAATATAACGCACTTATTTTGTATAATTAATTTCTGAAATTAAAATAACTCGAATATTCTGAAACTGAATTTTTATGAAAATTAACTGTAAGTCAGAAGATCGAAAAACTACAAAAATATAGAATAAAAGTAAAAAGAATATAAACGGCGCTATTCTGCTATTTAGTTTAATTTAGTCGTCTAGGTTGTCTTCAGTAAGAAAAGCTCACAATTCGAAGAAATTGTCGTACAATTCCTCCCGAAGAATACCGTAATTCCTCCAGAAGTGGACACCAAGACACGTCTTTAGGATGACTTTAGAACATTTCAAAGTGTCCTGGAACATTGCGTCAATGTTCCGAAGACATAAAAAGAGACGAATTAAAGACGCCCAAAGTATGTTCCAAACATGTCTAGAGAATGTTCCAAATATATCTTGAGAATGTACCAAACACGTGCTGAACATGTCCAAGGAAAACCGCCTTTTAATACCCTCAACATATCAGAAAAAATTTACTGAAAATTTCCAAAATCTTTGATAATTGAAATGAATATTACATTGAAATGATGTATACTTAAAAGCTTAACGTGAGCCTAATTTACAGGGTATTTAGGTCTAAGACACCGATCAATCCATGCCACTAAAGATCCAAATAAACAAAAAAAGTGTATCGCGATTACTGGTCCTTATTTCTAAAATTCTTTCTTCTAATAAAAAAAATTACGTAATTATAAAAAAATTTATTTTTAATATTTTATTTTATATAAAAATTTCGTTCTAATTAATTTAATTTTCATTTTTAGGTTAAGTGTGCAAAATGGAATTCGTTATAATAACTTTCGAAGCGTTTATATATTCCTCCATGTTCTATTTTCGGAGAAGCTGCAATACTTCTTCATTCAATATTTTTGAATAATAATAATTAATATTTACTTACTAATATAGTATTGCAATTAACAAAACTTTTCCACAGTTAACCTTTTAACGCTAAGTAAAATTGTCGTCACGCTGCAATGCCGCAGTTGAATACGGGGTTTACACGCACGGACTTGCTAATTCTTAGCTGTAGCAGCTAAGGTTTAAATTAAAGCTAATATACTTTTCATCAAATAAAGCAAATATCTATTAGCTGCAATAGGATATAATTGCTGTATCATCAAAATCGTTAGCACAACCAGCTAATTGATTACAGCTAATGCATATTTGCTGCTACAGCTAAATCATTTTTCTCCTTGCACCAAAAGTTGTAAATAAAATTAATTTACCTTTAATCTGCGATGCCTGCATCATATATTTAGCTGTCCTTCTGGCACTGAGGTAGGCCTCATCTGAAGTTTTTTGTGTGGCTTTGAGCTTTGATATTTTTTACATAAAATAATTCCAAAAACAAATTTTATGATTAAAATTATATTCTATACCCTTTCAAGTACCAATTAAGAAAAAAAAATCATCTTTTTATGAGATCGAAAGTGTTACTCCCCCTTAATGAACAATATCTTGAGGTTATAAAAATTTAATATTTGGGGCTTTTTATTTTAGGCACATTGATATACATTTTATATTATGTCATAAAATATGTTAATATAGATACATTACATTAACAGGATAAATATTTATATTTGCTTATATATGATTTTTGTTTGACTATGCTGAAAATTGTTTGAATCCGTTAAAAGGATTTTGAACAATGAAGCTTTCACTCGTCCTACATGACATATCTTTTGTATTTACTTTACATTTAATTATAGTTTTCTCACAAAAAAAATGGTCCACATAAAAAGAACTCACTATTTTTATATTAATTTAAAATATTTTTTATTAAAATATTTTAAATCAAAATATTTTATTAACATATCTAAATTAGGGGGAAAAAAATTGCAATTTATTTCTATTTTCAATTTCAATTAAATATAAAATAATTATAATTCCATGTAATGTTCATAAGATAATAGGTTTCAAATTATGGAAGTTTAATTTTAAATAACTTTAAAATAATAATTGCTTCTTTTTATCCTTGTTAATATATATACCTATGGTAATAGTATTTTACAGGTCATTTTGAAAATAGGTCATTTCCTTTTTGTTAATAACACACATTCAGATGTGAGCTTTTCATCTTTTATAAACTCGCGAATCATAATGCGAGAGATTTGATATTAAAGATCCCCTGGAAATACACGCGCTTTTGCGAACATTGCACCATGTAGAATAGCAGGTTATATGGCAAAAAAAAAGTTTTAAATCTTCACTTTCTATATTCATTTTACACCAAAAGGCTTAACACGGGACTTTAAGAGCATTATATAAAGTCTCAAGCTCAGTTTGACCAAGATTGTTGTTAAATACTTTAGAAATATGCTAAAAATATAGTTTAAAGATTAAAGAGACTAAAAGTTTACGATTAAATCACATTGTTACAAAAAAAAAGTTAAAATTTTCTTATACTTAAAAAAAGAAACAAAAAAAAATTTACACCTTGATTAATGATGAAGTACATAATGTAGGGTAAAAGAAAAGCTGATAAAAACGCTAGAGAAAGAGAGAGAGAGAGAGGGAGAGAGAGAAATGATTAAATTAGTCGATTCACAAGAGTAACAGGTGGATTTATTTCTAGAAATTATTATTCATTGTTGCATGATTTGCATTAAAATGAGTTGCATTTTAATGAGAAATGAGAATTTTGTGATTAATATCATTTTCGTGCAAAGTGATTTTTGTATGAAAAGTATTTTCATTTCTTGTTATTTTTTTCATTCTTTAAGAATGAAATTAATTATACATTGAAATTAAATTTAGAATCTAAAAATAGTTGAAAGTGTTGAAATATTGAATAGCTTTTAAGATTTAAGAATTTGAATAATTAACTAAGTTTAAACGATGTCAAATTACTCAACTTTTTTAGTATATTTATTTTAAAAAAGATTTTTCTGCAATGTATCAAATATTTGAAAAAATTTTATATAAAATTATTTATTTACAAAAATTTTATAAAATAATTTCAATAATATTTATTGCATTTTTTTGCGGAAAAAAAATATAAACAGATTTCAATGATTTAATAAGATAAAAATAACAGCTTTATTAATTTGTTAACATTATTGAGAACCCGTATATCCGTTCCTCCGTAAACAATTTAAAAATAATACTACTTTTTTTAATAAATTGAATACC